TATGCGTTGAGATTTTGAGCTTCTGGAAATAGTCCCTGCACAACCGGGTGCACCTCTCGGACAATAAAGGGATATTTAAAAAGGACCTTGCACATTCGTAACTAACACCAGGTAAAATAACCCCTAAAGCCCTAATTTGGATTTGTTCAAGCTGTTTACTCTGTGTTTCAGTGATACAAGTTCCCCAAACTGGAGTTGAGTATTCTAAAACGGGACGTATAACAGCAACATAATAGCGAAACATACCCGGGACACATAGACCAGATCTACGTAATCGTTTGAGGAAATACAATCTGGTATTACCCTTGGAAATCATAGTATCCACTTGCAATTGCCAAGACAGGTCACTCGAAATATTAAGACCTAAGAGTTTGCACGAATTAACGTTGTTAATTTTACTGTTATTGATACTGAGAGGGTCAAAGTTTGATTTAATAGATTTGCAGCTAATTAGCATTTCAACAGTTTTATTGGTATTGATAACCATATGATTATCAAGAGTCCAATCAACTGCCATATCAAGAATTGACTGGAGCTCACTAGATCTGTCTCTGCCAATGCGCTCATAGACGGTAGTGTCATCCATATATTTGATGCACGACACTCCGGCCATGAGGTCATTGACAAAGACAATGAAAAGTATGGGCCCCAGCCAAGAGCCTTGTGGTATCCCCCCATTTAAGGAAACCCAACTAGAAAAAACAGATCCAAGCTTAATACGCTGCTTTCTGTCACAAAGGAAAGATGCCACCCAGGAAATTAAGGCAAAATCAACATCAAGCCGTCTTAGTTTATCAATAAGGACATTGTGGTCCACCAGGTCATAAGCTTTTTTAAAATCAAGAAGGAGCACTCTGACCTCTTGGCGAACATCAGTAGCTTTGTAGCATTCATGGAGAAAGTTAACTAATGCGTCAACCGTTGATATCCCTTTAGAGCACCCAAACTGGTTAAGGATGATTTTATCCTTAACTTGCTCCCATATTCTTTCACCAACTACCCTCTCTAAAATTTTAACTGTACATGATGTTAAGGAAATTGGCCGGAGGTCTTTTTCAACTGACCTAGGGGGTTTACACTTTGGAATCGGAACTACGTCCGCACACCTCCATATCTCTGGGATAAACCCCTCTCTTATACTACAGTTAAAAATTGAGCACAAGGGGTTAGCTAAAATATGAGAGAACTCTTTTAGGACCCAAGGGGGGATACAATCCGGGCCTGGGGCTTTGTTAGGCTTAATTTCTTTAAGCAAAGACTCAACCTCAAGAGGAGTAACAATCAGATTGTCAAGTAATGGGCAAACCCTCTCCTGGTTTTCAGAAGGCTTAAGAGCAATGAAACCCGAGGTGAGTGATTGAAAAAGCATATTGATATTGTTGACAAGCAAAACAACGTCGCCACCACAGACTTCATTGGCCAAAACCTTAACAAAGTTATTATTCTCCCTCCCTAAGTTTAAAAACTGATTTACTCTCTCCCACCATGAACGAGAATCTGATTTGAATAAGTGTTCTAAATTGTTCTTATAGAATTTTCTCCTAGAGATACAGCAAGACGGTTTACTTTGTTACGGAGACGCTTGTACTGCTCAGAATAGCGGTCTCTGTTGAATGCAACTTGACGCTCGCGTATAGCCGCCTTAAACACATTATTAACCCATGGTTTGTCTCGGCTGTCTTTCTTAACAGTAACAATAGGGAAATGTCTATCAATTAAAATCATCACTTGATCACTATAAAACTTGAACTGACTTGCACAGTCATTCAAACGGTATAGGTCCTGCCAACGTATATTATGTAGATCACACGCGAAAAGTACTTTAGAAATTCTGTTCACCAATCGTTTACATTTGGTGACACTAAAACCAGATATTTTGGGCATACAAAAGTTAGGGTTCCATATAATCACATTATGATCTGAACGGTTCAAAGGTGGACTAGCAACAGGAGCACTGTACATACTATCCAACGAGGTGTAAATCAAATCAAGAACTGCCTCTTTCCTAGTCGGCACTTTAACTACTTGCTTGAGCGGGAATTTGATCAACTGATGGTCCTTCATATGGTTAAAATCACCCAACACAACAAAACCGTTATTATGGTGGATACTGCTGACGTAGTCCAAACAGCGAATAATGTGACAAGACATTTCCCAGTCATAGGCTCCCGGGGGTGGTACACAAGGCCAACAGTAATATTAGCGATTGAACGTGGTAGTCGTTATCCAGATGCTCTCACAAGATTCTTCCTCAAGGTCCTTCCAAATTTTAAAAGACACATCATCTCGAATATAAATTAGAATGCCACCACATTCCCTATGAAGGCTATCACGGCGAACCATGTGATAACCATCCAAACAAAACAGGTTATCAGCAAGATATGGCTTGAGATGAGTTTGGGTTATGGCAACTATGTCAGGTTTTTCCTTATTAATCCTAACAAAAACGTAAAACGTCCATTTTATTAGGTAAAGATCTGGCGTTGGTCAACCAAAAGGGCGGCAAAGTCCATTTACCTGAGACTACTTCAATTAAATTGTTATGGTTACAGCAATTCACATTCCTCGCTTTCCTCGAGCGCCTTGATATCAAGACTGGTATTGGCCTATGCTTATTCTTGCCGGCTCTACAACCCCTGGGTTTAGTACGAGCAATGTTCAGATCATTCACAATTTTGAAAAAAATCTTTACCTGGCTTTGAGTATCGCACAGCTTTAGGTACCGAAACTTGTCTGAAGAAACACATCTTTCCGTAAAATACAGAGTCATAAACAAGTTAAAATGACGAGAGTTAAAAATCACCATACCGAATTCCAAATTGAAATATGTAAGTGAGCAGCTGCACTTACGCTAGGCCACGAAAACAACAACCAAGCAATGGAGCAAACCGTGCGAGTACCGTGGCGATGTGTCCACAGATCTGTTAGCTGGCTAACAATTGGATCTCATCAAGGTTCTCACAAGCACCCAAAAACGGTCGAAAAAAAACCCCACAAAACTTCACACGAAACGGCACCTCAGCAGACTACAAAACAACAAAACGCATCTAAATATTGAATATTAAGCCACAATCCGGGACAAAAGGAGAGAAACAGTCCTTCTCTGAGCTGCCTTGACTTAACCAGGCGCGCTTCAACATGTAAAAAATAAATGCCCTTTCATCCCCTGAAAGTGCCTAAAAACCTCAAATTTCGCGCGCATTTCTTGTTAACATGGCCTAATTTCCTCTAAAAATTGCACATTTTAGGGAGTTTTGATCAATTCCAACGAAATTAGAATTAAAAACAC